TTTTTTTTTCAAAAATCAAACTCAAATTGAATAAATTTAATCAAATTGAATGCATGTGATGATAAAAAACACTATAACGAGCCTATAAATTTAACATATTATTTGTAAAAATTGAGTGAAATTGATAGAATGGACGGAAAAAAAAAAAAAAACGCAGTCCATTTTTTTTCACAAACATTAATCTTTTTTCTCAAAAATCAAACTCAAATTGAATAAATACAATCAAATTGAGTACATGTGATGATAAACAACACTATACGAATCAAAAGCCTATAAATTTAACATATTATTTGTAAAATATTGAGTGAATTTGATGGAATGGCGAAAAAAAAAAAAAAAAAATGACAGTTCTTACCTGTTTTTCGTGCACCCGTGGTTTCAAATTCAAATTTGATATATATTCGTCCAAAATACTCACAAGTTATTAACAAAAACTTCTGAACAACACTCTTACGATCATTAATGCTCAGATTTTACAAAAAATGATGCCCTCTTTTGCTTGAAATCAAAGCAATGGTGGAACCCTAAAACGTTTTTAGGGTTCTTCACAGATCTAACTTCTTTGATCAAAGTCGGTGATTTTTCCTACCTTTTATTGACTGAAATGGCTGAAAAATTTAAAATAAAGCCTGCAAGATTTGATTATAAAGTCGAAAAAGATGAAAAATGATAAGAAAATGACAAAAAACCATCAAAATCGTGAAGAACAATGTGCAGCCCGTGTTCTTAACGAGTCTCAACAGTGACTCGACGATTCACTATTGGGAATCGTCTGGTTCTCTCTAGACATGGGAGATTCTTGGCATTGTTGTGGAACCAGCACGGGAACTGCCGATTCTCGAGTCAAACAGGGGGAGTCCGGTTCGACTCGCCAAGTTTTCAAACCCTGGGTCTAAGTATTATGTAAAGACCCGGGTTCTTAAAATCATCACAGTCTATTGATGGATAAAGAGAGGGAGTTACAGTGACAAGACATAAAAGTCTTTCTCTCTTACTATTATCCATTAATGGTCTATAATGGATTGTAATGACCCTGAGGACTACAGTGTCTTTGTAGTTGTATGATTATAGCATGATAAAGATACCCTATCATTTTGGGAAAATATCTTCATATCTTTTATTTTTAGGTTTGATTTTTTGATAAACCCAAAGTTTTAAAAGATATATTCCACTTTAAACTTATTTTTTAACCTAAATCATATATTTATCATCCCTTTAATAGACCGTAAAACGGGGGACGACAATTGATTTACGTCATTTCTAAACTCTAAACCATTTTCCTTTTCTAGGGATTGATCTTTCGGATG